GCCGTAAAGAATACTGGCCTGAATGATACGCAGCGAACGGCTAGAAACTCCGAATCTTTTGAGGGCTATCATCATAGCGTTGTGGTCGATAGAGTCGAAAGCTTGTCGCCAGTCCAGGAACAACAAATGTAAAGGATTAGCGGTCATTCCGACCATTCCATAGCCCTTCTTAGTATAAATAGGGTGCGCCGTGCCACGTCTGGACCTAAAACCATACTGTGTATCTCTAAGGTGGGTTTCATGTTGTTTGGCAAGTCTGGCTTGAAGCATTGCAGCGAAGAGCTTGTAGATAGAATTGAGTAACGAAATAGGTCTGTAGTTAACGGGGTCGATGTCTAGACCTTTACCCTTATACAGCGATACTACTATTGCTTCCTTCCAAGCCTCCGGGACTTCACCGTACCCCCATATCTTGTTATAAAAGGCTAAGAGAGTACGAGCGTTGTGGTCATCCAGGAGCATCAAAAATTCGTTTAGAACCTTGTCTGGTCCTGCGGCTTTTTTCTTCTTGAGCTTAGTCAAAGATGTCTGTAGCTCCTCTAGCGTAAAGGGGTTGTGGTCTCGGACAGGAGGCCTGAGCTGACCTCGGGCGTTCAGACTGGTGTAGACCTCCTCCCCCAAATCAGCCTTTTTCCATTGCGTGTTCTGTAGATGATCTCCGAATGCCTCGTGTGTTTTAGACCATGGCACCGCCTTGTTGTCCACTACCAAATGGCGTTTTTTGCCTTGAAAACCTCTTTTTTGATTTTTGGCGGCCTGCCACATTCCCTTTTGGTGTTCGCTAGTATCCTCCGTGAGCCTGGCGTGAATCCACTCTATTCTGTCCTTATGTGCGGATCGCTTAGCGGCATTGCGTAGAGATTTGGCGTTGTGGTCCTGGTTAGATTGAGCGACCCTGGCGGCTGCCAAAGCGTCTAACGTGAGCTGACTGATCCATGGGCGTCGCTGCGGGTTACACGGTAGAAAGGTTTGTTTAGCGGCTTCCAGAAGATTGGCTCCGGGGTCCATTGAAGTCCTTAGTTTTGTGTGTCTAGGCTCCCTATCCATGAACGTGGCTGCCGTTCCCGTACGTGCAATGCTATGTTTCCCTGCTTCAGCCAATTTATCAGCTCTTTCATTTCCCTAGCTCTTTCATTTCCCTCGTGCCCCGCGTGTCCCTTGATCCATTGTAGGGTGATCTTAGTTGTGATCCCTCGAATGACCGTTAGAATGTAGTTGACCAGCGTTTTGTGATGTTTCGCCCTCCATTTACCCTTAATCACGTTGATGGACCACAAGCTATCCGAACGTACGGTCAGGGATGCCCAATTGTTTTCCGCGGCATAAAGGATGGCCTCAAGGATAGCCGTGAGTTCCCCAGCGTTATTTGAGCCCACCTGTGCCCCGTAGAACTGTGGGTGTTGCGGGTCCGTTTGCACCGGTCCAAAAGCCTCCACCCACTCTTCTTCGTGGAGATAACACCACCCCCATCCTGCGGCTATTTGTCTGCTACATTTTCCCCTGGTGCCTGAGCCGTCCGTGTAAACCACCACCCTAGGACCCTGAACAATAACCCCGGCGTTGTGGTCCGGAATGCCTTCGTCCTCTTCCCACAGTTCTTTGACAATGGCATTAAACTCCCTTCTGGAATCTTCTGAAAAATCTATTCTTAACATGGGCGGCTTAGGAGTCTTGGATACTTTTGCTGCCAATTTCACCTGAACATCTGTTACTAGAAGATAATGATCACTGGGAAACCCTGTATAAAGTTTCGATCGGCACTTATTGATGGAATGTAACCACTGTTTTCTAGTGAAGGTATGGTCAAGTCTCTGAAATAAGGTGGGGTCTGCATGAGGCATTGTCTTAGGTGGGGGGAGCAGCGGATCCATCTCTAGAAAAGACCTGATGTTAGCTGCGACAGAAAGAGCTGATTCCGCCATCTTGTGATGTAAGATGTCATATACTTGCTGCATAAAACATATTCCCGTACTCCCTACTAACCCAGACCCGTGATTAATAAACTCCCTCCCCTTACTAGGGATTATAATTAGCATCCGAATATAAAGGCCCTTCAAAGGAGTACGGTCACCAAAAGTAAGTTTAAGGTTCGAGGTTGGCAGCCTGCTTCCCATGTTTTTTTTTTTAAGGAGGTTAGGGTTTAGGGTTTAGGGTTATCGTATAAGGATGGTCTAAGGGTGATAGTCCCGTATTCCTTACTAAGCCTAAACCCTAATTAGGAATTTCCATTTTCTTTTCCATTACCCCTATAAAACCCTATATGAGACCCCCAGATTCCCTCATACCCTACTCCGTACCAGTCAGTGTCGGGCTTTGCAGCTCCCTGAACCCTCAAACCCTTGACCTGAAAGCCCTAAACCCTAAACCCCTCAAAACCCTGAAACCCTGAACACCCTCCAAACCCTACAACCCTAAAACCCAAACCCTGAACCACTCAAAACCCTAAAAACCTTCAACCCTAAAACACTGAAACCCTAAAGCCCTAAAAACCCTAAAAACCTTCGAAACCCTAAAACCCTGAAAACCCTAAACGCTAAAACCCTAAAGCCCTAAAACCCTGAAAACCCTCAAAGCCCTACAACACTAAAACCCTAAGACCCTCAAAACCCTAAAACACTAAAACCCTAAAGCCATAAAACCCTAAGACTTCTAAAACCCTCTAAAACCCTCTAAACCCTGAAAACCCTAAACCCTCAAAACCCTCAAAACCCTAAAACCCTCACACCCTGAAACCTCTAAAACCCTACAACCGGGAAGGCAGAAGTCTCCTGCAAGAAGTCCTCACTCGCGAGTTCAGCGGCGAGCCCTTCACGCTGGCCTCCCAAAACTGAAGGTAGGGCGACCTTTTAAGGGGGGTTAGTTCTATATATGTATATATATATATACTATGTATATATATATGTATATATAGGGGTTCTACAGGGATCATATAGGGGTTATATACTGCCTGCCCTGCAATTCAGGGTTTAGGGCTTGCAGTGAATATGTGTGGACTTCAGCTTCATGAAGATTCGTGGTCATGGCATGTAGGATTCAAGGGTTTAGGGTTCAGGGTTTAGGGCAGATGTAGGCTTCAACAAGGATCTGCTGTCCTGTTTTTGTCGCTCCTATACCCTAAACCCGCAAAGATCGAACTTTTCTCGGCCTGGCACAACGTACTGCAGCCTCTTTGCCAGTTCCTGCGCCGAGGGCTACATGCATGCTTAGATGTTCATGAGTACTCCACCCGGGATACCTATCGAGATACAGGATAGATGTAGCACAGGAAACTAGACATTTAGGTCATGCAGACCAGCATACAATACGCTGGGCAACGCCTAGGTACTTCTAGACAACATCAAAGCATAACGTATTGACTTGAGGGCACGGGAACTACTAGGCAGATGTGCTTGCATTTAAAGTGGCTCAGCGAATAGAGGTGCATGTTCTGTGGGTTTTCAGAAATGCACTGCTTCCTCTGCAATTCTTTTAGATCTTATCCGAACTTATCCGAACCTCATACAACTCATTTTTGGGCCTCGGCACCCCTTACCCGTCCAACCTCCTGGCTCAGCACCCCGTGCGAAAGAGCCCTACACAAGACAAGTGGCAAACATGCTCGGGAAGGCCTACGTACGTCTTTGCAAGACTTGTACCCTGACCTATTTTTTCAAAACACAAAACCTTCCCTTCCGCACTGGCACACCATAAGCGCGCTCCGACAAGTTCGCCATCTTCGGTGGCGGCAGCATTCGTTTTTGCTCCTGGGGCCTGCGGATGCAGTACATGTTGCAGAAGATTTCAAACAAGCATTTTTGTTAATAGAGCGTCGTCCGATCGGCCAATATGGGGCCGCTTGAACATCATGAAATGTCATTGTGTGTGTGCAAATGATATCCTTGCGCTCCGTGTTTCAAGATCCTGGCTCCACAATATGCATCAACACTGCAAATTTGCCACGTGTGATACATGCCGCTGCCACATGCCCACATCCAAGGCCAGGGCTCATGGCAAATGAGCTTGTAAATCTCCTGCGCTTTTAGCTCTCTCTCTTCTTCTTCTTCGTGCTTTTCGCAGTCCGAAGACTGGGCGTGGGCTGCGCCCACAGCACCAAGTCTCTATACAAATTGCAATACGGAGAAAAGCTTTCGAAGTACACTCTTTGCTCTGCCTCTCTCTCTGCCTCACCTCTCTATATAATCCCTATAGAAACCCTACAATTCCTGTAGTGTCCATTCTCTTTTCCATTATCCCTATATATACCCCAATATATACCGAATAATCTCCTGATTATGTGGAGTTTCATCTACACGGAAAACATGTCAGGCCATCCCTTGCTGCAGCATGTTGGTTCCGTAACTTCGTCATATCGTTGCCCTCTTGCCCTGCGGAGGTCCTGAGAACCAACTTCGTCCTGGAAGCTCAGAGCCTGCTGCGCTTGGAGGGGCAAAACAGATCACACAAATACGTTCACCAACACTTTTTTTAAAAAACGAGGGCGTCAATGACAGCGGCTGGACAACAACCCCATGACAAAACATCTTCAACAGCTGAGAACATGCTGATCTGATCTTTTAATTGCACTGCCACGCACGTGGGGCATTTAAACTCCCAACAAACTTCAGGTCCACCACGCGACGAGAACACCGGCATTTGCATGATCAAAAGACAAGTCATACAGGCAGGACCAACAATCAAGTATTCAAACAGTTTCGCGGTCAGCAACACAAGGCACAAGGTCCAGGCCCAATCTTTCTGATCCTCTTCATCTTCCCACACGATGATGGTCTTCTGCGCTCCTGGCTCGACTTGCACGATACATTAGGTGGACACCCCACCCTGGAATAGTGGTATAATAGGAATATATAGTGGGACCCTAATATAATCCCTATTATCCCTTATAGTCACTATTACAGGGTGGGGGCTCCACCTAAACGATACAACACGAGCTGCTCAGGGGAAGTGCCCCAGCAAAGCACAGCCAGCAAAGCAATATGCTCGCAGCAAACCCAAAAGCGCACCTTCGCCTTGCAGCTGGTAGACGTCTTGGGCGAACACCGGCCGGTCATGGAGCACTTCTCCACCTTAAGCATAATTGGGTTTCAAATGCATTGGATTCTTGTGCAAAATCCGATCCTGAGCATGTCCGGATGGACCTGTTGTGGTGGTGGCCACGGCAAGCTATCATCTCAACGTTAACATCCCTTGTGTCGGGGGCATGCAAAACAGTCGAATGCCCATGTCCGTATCAACGATCTCGAACTCAAAAATCGTGCCGAATCAGCAAATACTAAACCTATCCTTCTTGGCGTGTACGCCTCACAAATGGTCAAACAAAGGCCGTAACTTTCCTCATCTCGGAACTGCAGTCGGCGCTGCTGCCCAGTTCCCACCACTGACCTCATGGATGCAAACCAGGCCAACAAAATTTGCAATCTGCACACTAGAGGTGCGTCATTGCATTGACGATGGGTCTGGGGGCCATGCGCGTGCCCTGTGCCTGCCTCTTGCCAGGCAGCAGCATCGTTCAGGATGTACAATTTCCCTCGATACCTTACTGAACGGGTTGAAACTGGCACGCGCTATCAAAATGCTCACATGGGGTTGATTCCAAAAAAAGTCGCTTGCCTGAACAGAAGCATCTGTCCAACGAATATGTTGTCCCCTAATTCAAGCGCCCGGCTTCTGCTTCTGCCGTGCATCTTCCACATCCATGGACTGCCTCCTTGACATGCCAGGTACCACACGGCATGCCACGACCAATCTTACAGTGAAAATCGCAAAGCTCAATCACGCTTACAACATACACTTCCAATAGCTTGAGAATTGGGCGTGAAGCAACTCCTATGATCGATCTTTGGACGATATGTGTTTATCTGTGCAGCTTGCTGTTTGTAGGGTCCTCCCCGTCTCCGGCCAGAAGCGGGCACTGGGACCACCTTCAATTTTTCCAGCCATTGACGACCGCAGGGCACAAGCCTTGAACTCTTGAACGTGTCGACCTCGGGAGCACCGCCATGCGCCAGCCGCACGGAATACTGTGCCCGTGCCCGTCCACGCTTGAGCCACCATGCCACCAGTCAAGGTCCAATCTCATGTGTCTATTGATGTTGCAACTGTGGTCTTGTATGCAATTCCATCACACTGCCTCCCCATTCAACCAATGGTGCGCAAATTCCAAATCCACTCCAAAAACCTGCGTGTCACCATATGCACAGAGTTTGCCGATGCATGTGGTAAATTACGGCATGCGGAGCCTCGCAAAGAACGTAGACACTGTGAGTTGCAGCAACAAGAGAGACTTTCGTTTGCTGGATGGCGCAAACAAGATGATGCGAACGGCCTTCCCCCTACTGCAAACACGGTGATGCTGTGATACTTATTACTTGCGACCATGGATGGCCTTAACAAAGCGGGGGTGTTGGGCGGGCAGCCCCACCATTTTGCAAACAAAATGATCCGCACAGCCTCCCCCTAATGCAAACATGGAAAGGACATGTTTTTTCATCGGAAGCATGGATGCCCTCCAAAAAAGATGGCTTCAAAACAAACGGGGGGGTCGGGGGCCGCAACCCCCCCCCATATGCGAACAACCTGATCCGCACAACCTTCCCTTACTGTTGACGTGGCGACATCTTGATGCCTGTATTCAAAATAGCCGGGGGGTTGGGGAGGCATGCATGGAATTGGCTTTTTTTTTGCAATAAGCATGGCTGGCTAGTGCTAGTGAAAAAGGGGCACCCCCCGATCTGCAAACATAACTATCCACACGCGACGGCCACGACCTGATGTTTTTTTATTACAAACGTGGATGGCCTTCAAAAACGGGTGTTGGGGGGGCACACCCCCTCCATTTGCAAACAAAATGATCCACACAGCCTTTCCCTACTACGAATGAGGAAAAATCTTTTTCACCCTAAGCATGGATATGGCTTTAAAAAAATGGGGGTGGTGCGTGCTCGTTAGTGCCTTTGGAACCAAGAATCCCACGCACAACCTTCAAGTCAATGGCGTTCATTCTAATGATCGGCGACGGAGTGAACACCACATCATCCATTGCGTACATGAGGATAGCTTGAACTATTGAGCGATAATTTGTAATTTCCAAGAGGAAGGGAAAGAACCAATATGGGACATACGAGGTTTCAGGAACTTGGAAGCCGCAATGGCTTTTGATACTCTGTTACGAATATTTTTGGAGTTGGGGCTGGTGGAGTCCAAAGAGACGCCGAAGTATTTGACCCCATCCGATAAGGGAACTGGCTCTCCAAAAGAAGCGCGCTGCATGGCAAAGGGGGCATCTACATGCTAGATGACATGAGGGGAAGGCCACCGGCCGCGTTCAGTGCGCTCGGCAGAAAATTCTATTGTTGCTTGGACGTCGCGGTAGGTAGGCTACTTAGATGCGAATCGGCAAGAGTGAGGGGCACGTATGTGGTCAGTTTGTACTTGTATCTGATCTGCTTCTTCAATACCATCAGGTATGACCACCTGATAGTGGAGGCGGAATAATTACAATACCCGCCCATCATCTTGCACATGGCGTTGCAGATATACCAAGGCAGCCGTTGCCTCTTGTCCGAGGGGTCTTAGCGTGCCCCATCCAGGCCTCGCATGGAGTGCTGGCTGGATGTCCTGCAGCGCCGTCACTGCCCAAAGTGGCCCTTCATGGAGTGGCCAACGAGGCCAACAAAAGAATGAATGCGTCCAGCTTGGACACGTGGTTGGACAACATGAGCGTGGATACAGAACACAAAATCTAAGGAAAGCGGTTCGTGGCTTCTATGACAAGAGTACATTCATTTCACTCGCCACTGGTTGCACGCGCAAATGTTGCTTACAAAAATTGTTTGCGGACATTCGCACAGCACCCATTTCCGGAGTTGGATCCAGGTGCAATCTTAGCATTGGACAGCATGTCGCCACAAAACCTAATTCATTCGATGTATATATTTTTGGTTGCAAGGAACATTCGTGCGACCTTGTACAGTGCGGTACGCAACATAAAAGAATGTTCTAAGAAATCGCGGACACTAATTACACCTGTATTTTCGCGGAGGTGGCAGACACAGGACCAGCCGGTCTGGCACACGGCTTGTGGTTTTGCTTGTGCGTTTTTTGTTTTTTTTTGCAGCCCCCAATTGTTTGTGTGTGACGGGACAATTCCTGGTTCCGCTGGTGTGTTGTTCTTGCAGAACATGGGCAGCCTGGCCTGAAAAATAGCTCGGAGTTGTTTTCGCATGAAATGGAAAAAATGCTCTTGTTACAGGCGCTGGGATGATGCTGCTGCATAACGTGTTGTGGACAAATACATAGTGATACATGTGTGGTCAGCATGTCGATGCGGAGCGATTTGGAATATATTGCCAAGTCATCCATGGAAAAGCAGAAGCAAACAGCGGCACAAGAGGCAACATCTCCTTGGAAAAACAAGCTGACACGGGCACCATTGTGAAGTGCCGACATGTTGCGAACTTGTCATGGTTCACTGCAACCATGCAGCCAAGACACGGACATTGACATTGTCATTGAGGCGCCTGCAGTCGTGACGTCTCGGGCTAGCTTGGGGTAGCGGCTTCGAACCTGTTTTCTTCCGGTTTCCCGTGTGTATGGTGGGTTTTGTACTCCCGTTTTTGAGCAACGAGACAACACAGGCGTTTTTCGATCATCCCAGGCAAGGGTCATCACCACAAGCGCCATTCCCGTCCCTCCAAACTACAGCTTGAGTAGCTGGATGCACCGGCCGCTTATACCGCTGTGGATTGGCACTTGGATGACAGTCGACACAAGTTTATGTGAGCCTTGCTTGTGGCACTTGCAAATGCTATGCGGTGCATTTGGTCATATCAAAAACATGGCGGAAAACAAGATGCAACGTTATGGGCGGCAGTCAGTTGCTTTCGCTCGGAAAGGGTGTCAGTTGAAAATTGTCAGCAAACGGAAACGGTGGGCCTCACGTCGACCACGCTAGCAGACGCAGGCTGGACTTGGTGATCTATGGTGTCACGCTGGGCGGTGCGAGTTGTTGTGATGCGACGTTGGTCTCGCCGCTGGCCCGCGCAGGCCAACTGCAGCCGTGCGCAACAGAGACCGTTGGGGCATCCCTTCGCGTGGCTGAGAGACGCAAACGCGCCAGATACCCGGAGCTGCGTGCAGGCGGCCCGCAACGCCCCGTGCCATCCGGCCCGCATTCGGACCAGCTATGACCAGCTGCCGCACCTGGCATACCTCGCATCCCTGGCTGCCAGGTGCCAAAACAACATGTAATGCAGACAGATTAACATGGCCGTAGAAGGGTCTGTCATGGGTGGTGTTGACCTTCTGTGAATAAAAAGGGTGACGATGGTATAGTCTTGCTGGGCCGGCAACGTCCAGGAAATTTCATTTCTGACACGTTTGGGGTGTCTACGAACAAAATCCGTTGACAATGACAAACTGGTGACAACAATGATAAGTGATGTTGTCGCCCAAAATGTTTTGGTTTTCATACAGTTCCTTCAATTTTTTATCCCGCGGACCTTTCCGTCTGCCCAACGTGCCGGGGTCGGTGGGAACAGCGTGGCTCTGCATAGCTGATAGGTTCCCGTGGACGGGTGCCCCCAAGGAGTGACCGAGGATATGGCAGCCTTGTAGATTTTTGTGCGGGTGTCAGCGGGCGGTCCCAATACTTTGAGCCGCTTGGCCCTGGCCTGGGCCTTTTGTTGCCTCGCAGAAGTCACGATTCGTGTGGAGTCTATGCCTAGGTCCCTCACTTCAGGATCCTCAAGCCTTCGTAGATCCCTCAACCAACTGGGGGCTTGTCTGCTGCTTGTGACAGAACCTGTCTTGGTGCTTGACACCTGGAGCCATTTCTCCTCTAGTGCGTTGACGATTCGGCGGGCGGTCCACAGAACATGCGAAATTCCATTGCAATGAGTAGTGCAAGTGCAAGCAACCCAATGCACGCTTGCCCCTGAACCCTACCGCCCACTCCCCCATAAACTGCACGCCAGCTGACCGGACTAGCTGCATGGATTTTCGTGTGCTTTGCGCCGGGATTGACTGGCACCAAAGTGGCGAGAACAAACGGAATACCCGCTGCGGCCGCGATGTGCAGCAAAACTAGCACAGCTCCATTCTTTATTTGTGCTGGATGTTTGTACTCAACACCATGCCCGTGTTCGTTGACGAACGCATTTTTGGTTGCAGCGGTCCCAAATAAGGGGTAGCAGTAGATGTACATGGGGCCTCGCTTTGTGAGGGGTAGAAGGGTCAGTACCTGGCTGAGGAGGGGGTGTACACACGCTACCGCGCTGTAAGACGCGGTTTTGTTGCACCGCAAACCTAAGGCTACGTCGCCTTCGTGGAAGAAGATTCTATTGTCTGAGTTTAGTCGGAGGTGCTGAGACTTTTCTTCATTGAGCTTAAGGCCTTTAGTTTTACCAAAGTGTTGAACCAGGTGCAGGAGCCCATTCATGTGAAAAGAGGAGTTGCCCAAAGAGACTGTGGCATCCGCATACTCTAAATCCCGAAGGGGCCCATTAGCCCGAAATATAACGGGTATCTTGCAGAATTGCATATGATATGTTTTTTCATCATCCGCGCAAAGGTGAGATAGAACAAAACCAAATAAATAAAGACACAAGGGACACCCTTGTCGGAGACTTTCTGTTTGAATGTGAGCGGTGGATTGTCCTCCTGAGTCTTTGATTTTACGGTACGGAGTCCGGTACAGTGCCATAATTG